GATTTATATATTTTCAAATACGCTAAATCAATGACAAACCAATAAGATATTCTTTATCGGTTTTTGGTTATTAACGGTTCGATTTTAGGCTTACCCAATAAGAAAAATGCTCATAAAATAAATATATGATTTCTCACTTCTCTAACAATTTGACATGATACGATGAGACAAACAAATCAGTTGTAAATGCTTTGATATAGTGAAACAAGAAATATAATGAGAAATTGCATCAATTAGAGTAGATGTCGTACGAAGACTACAATAACATGTTACAACCAAAACATAATATGGAATTTCTGATGCGTACTATAATGTGTGAAGTGTGTAGACCGTAGTGTAGACGGTAGAGAACTGATATAGTGTAAAGTTATGTTAAATTATCAATATTTAATATTTATGAAGGGTATAGTGGTAACTTACTATTGTCTTAATGAGTTATCGATTTACCCAATAACTCAATACTAAAAATCGATAATACAATAATACCTTTTTTATAAAACCACTTAAAACCCGTTAACTCAATAACCCAATAACATTTTTTTTCGATTCGATTTATTGATCAGTTCATTTTTTCACACCCCTACGCATTAGCACGGCCAATAAGGGGCAAATTGGAAAGAAAAAAAAAAACAGAAAACAATATATATATATATATATATATAAAATAGTTTTGACCTTATATATACAATTTAATCTTTCGGTAAAAAAAAACAAAAGAACCTTTGTTCCCCTAGTTCCATCCCTAACCATGAGAGTCTCTTGATATATCCTTGAACTGTTTTCTTAAAAATTTATGGTGACAAGTGGCAAGTCGTGAATTTCTAGACTAATCGAACGAGAATTGATTTACTCTATCCAATAATTTTATAAATTTAGTAGAATTTGAACTATAATCTCTCATAATAACATCTATAGGTGTTTGTTTCAATCAAATTATTTTCCCGATATACGATTAATGAATAAAATTTTCCTTTCCCCATCAGGGTCGGACTATAATTTCGCTTATTTATTCAGCATAATCTAATATTTTGGATCCGATCATGTATTTGTGTTAATAGATTCTAGATTATCTAATATTTATTCAAAATCGAATAATCTACCTTTTCTAGAAATCGAAATTCATAATCACAAAATCCTAACTCCGCCTCACATTTGTTCGAACTTAAAGGAAATCATTATCAATAGATTCTAAAAGCCCTACTTGTCTTTTTAAAGCTAATAGCACTCACAACTTCAAATCAATTGGAAAATCCAAAAGCACAAACTAAACAACAATCTTGCATTCAAATTTTATACTATTGGTATAAGATGCCTTCTTTTCTCCTTTTTTTCTTCTTTTTATCTAACACATCCACTTGGATAAATTCAAGAAAAAGGAGTATTCCCCCAAAGTAGTTTTAAATTTTTAGAATTAATTAAATGGTGAAACGGTTAATAATTCTAAAAAATTATGTATATTTTTTTAGCAAAGATTAAAAACAGAAAGCTAAATATGCTTAGTCAGATATTAAAATTTATCAATAATTGAAAGATCAAAAACTCTATCAACTCTTCAAACTATATTACATACTTAAAAAAAAAAAAAAAAAACTCTTCAAGTTACATTCATTCTAACTAGGTCAATCAAAAGAATAAGTCTTTCTCCCTTCCATTTTTTTTTTCTTTTTCTTTCATGAGAGATTTAATGAAAATTCAAACAAATCTATAAGTTAAAATAAGAAATCTAAACCAAAAAAAAATTGGGTTTAGAGGGTAAAAAAACAGAAACTATCTAATAATTAAATATAATAAAAGAGAAGAAATTAAACACCTTTCAATTATGTGCTCTTACACTATTTAGAATTGTAGTGCGATAAATAGAATTCTTCTGTCCATAATCAGAAATCTCATGTTCTTTCTCATGTTCAAATCCAGAGAATAGAATCATATACCAAAAACGCAAAAATGAGTATCGAACACCAGATGAAAAAAACCCAGAAGAAATCATGTGGTTTTACATGCATAGATCATGAATGAGAACTCAACTTTATCTTGATTCTTGTGCATCAACTTGTCTTTATCTTCTAACCACAATCTACTACTCTCCAATCCACTTCTTGTCCTAAACATAAAAACAGCACAACCAGAGTTTGTTGAATTAAAGAACCAATCATGAACATCCCACATAAGATCCACAAACAAACCATCCAAGAAAATACTTTGATTTCCCCTAAAATTCCATTGTAACCTCTTTACTTTAATCACCATCTTCTTATCAATACAAATTGATAAAACAGGATAATTATGTTGTTGATGAATATTTTTCCCTTCATTTTCACCCCTACAACTTATCAAAATATCATGTTTTGACCCATTCTCACAAAATTGTGCCTTTGTTGAATAAATTGTGTTGCCTGAAAAATGTTCTTGTCTTGACACTAAACTAAATTTTGCCATTGAATTGCAATAATTCTTGAATTTTTTTTCTTCAATGTCACCAAGACTTAGTACAATTTCAGAATCAAATGTAACAACAACATAGTACTTATCAATTGGTTCTGGACCAAACATGTTGTTGTACCTAGCATCACATAAATCCCAAAAAACTTCAACTTTTTTATGATCATCATAATCATAATCAAATTCAATTGATTTCTTCCCCTTTTTTTTCTTCGAAATCGCGCTAATTTTGAAGGAATTTGAAGGATTATCACCAAATTGTATGTACAAAGTTTGTGACACATTTGTTTTGGACCATGAAACTATGATCAACAAGTGTTTTTTATTGGATAAAATAACATTGTACAAACATGTAACATTGTTTTGTGTTGAAGGGGTAGTTGAAGAATTTTGAGGAAAACAAGAAGTGTTTGAATAATTAGAACAAGAAGTAGTTTGTATTGCATTTTCACTAAAACAAGAAGCAAAATCTCTCATTTTCTTTTAAAAAAAATTGGGAACTAAGAGGAAAATGAAGAGAGTGTTTTTATTTTTATTTTTTGGAATTATTCTAAATGGGAAGTTTCAGAGGAAAATGAAGTATAAATTCACTTCTCTGACAAGCACATGTAAAGTATTAAATACAATTTGTTTTTGTTTTTTGTTTTTTTGTTTTATTGTTTTTTTTGCTTTTTTTATTCTCTCTCTTTCTTGCACACTTGAAACTTATAGAATGTCAAGAAGTTTATATTTCTTTAATTTAAGGCATGATATTATTTTTTATTCCTCGGTTATTGATAAATTTTAATTTCTTCTTAATTTTTAATTCTTTAGGTAGAAAATTGTGTTATATTTAGATTTTTAAAAAATATATAAATAACAATGACTTGCATATCGAGTATCTCATAAGTAGAGTTTTGAAAGGTTAGTGTGTACTCAATTTTATCTCTATTTGGTAAAGGTGGAGAGTTTGTTTCCGATAGACTTTCGGCTAAAGTAAAGGCATAATAATAATAATAATAAGTATGGACAGAAAGTTATAGTAGTGAAACAGTCATGTTGACCATAATGGAGAACGAAACAACAACAATAAATCATAACACATGATAATTGAAAGTAGAGAAAATAACTAGTACTAATTCAAGAAGTTTGCAAATATTCACAAGCAGAAAAAATGATAAAACAAAATGCAAGTAATTTATAGCTAAATATGTTTAATCATATATAATAAAAATCAAAATTTATCGATAATTGAGGGATGAAAAATGTTGTTAGCCCTTAATTTATTATTTGTCTGCCAGTTCATCTGAGATACTACTATCAATTAAAAAATTGTGATAGTATATGGGATTTAATAACTATATACTATATTCAAGTACATTGCTAATGAAAGTTTGACCAAGTGGAATTATTATTATTTATATTTAAATTTGGTATAAATTGCATATAAGTTTCTATTTTATTCAGTTTCTTGTAACCTTGGAATTGATGATTGATAAGACAATTAATTAAGGTATATAATAATTCACAACCTTGGAATTGATGATTGATAAGACAATTAATTAAGATATAATAATTCATATACATTTAATTCTAAGTTTCTAAGAAGTTATCTGTCTAGGAATATATAAAATTCTAGTATAGATAATCCCAAACTCTATTAAGCAAAAAAAAAATTGTGATTCAAAACTCATTAACTTAATTGAAATTAATCTCTACTTAATATTTAGCTACAAAATATTTTGTTAAAATTGATATACTGAGAATTTAATAGCAATAGCCAATAAGCAATTCTTTTTTATGTTGGTATGGATAAATTTATTGTAGGTAGAAGAAAGAAACATTAAATTCTTTTGTAACCCCCATGAATCTATTAAATTTTAGATGAATAAAGTCCTCTCATATCACTCTAGTCTTCAACCCCCCATACCACCACCACCCCCCCCAACAAATCTCCTAGGATTTCATAATGTTAAAAAAGGGTCTTGTTTATATTTATAGTTATTGAAGTGGCTCGAGTTTATCCTCGTAGGTTAATGATAACAACAGAGGTAGCGAGACATTTTTTAAATAAAAGATAAAATTATTCATATTGTTTAGGGTCAAATTCGACCTTTCACTAAAATAATATAATTGAAAGCGGGCAAAAAGATATTAAAATGTTAATTTTGCACAATAAAAGTAATAATATTAGAAAGAAAAAAAACTTGGAACATCAAGGATTTTAGAAAGAATTAAGTTCATTAATAAATTGGTGAAAAATATATTCATTACAAAAGAGAAAAAAGAAAGTTTAAAAGGGAAAGTGAAGATTTAATTTAAATTTTTAATAGAGGGATTTGATAAGGTAAAAAAAAAAGCTGCATAGTTTAAGAAAGAAGCTAAATTTGTAATGATAAAAGTGTATAAAGGTGGGGCGGGGGGGGGGGGGGGATAATCTAAAAATTAGTCATTTTTTAAAAAAAAAAAAAAAAAATAAATATGGAGAAAAGGGGGGGGGGGGGGGGGGGGGGGGATAATCTAAACATTAGTCATATTTTAAAAAAAAATAAAAAAAATTGTAAGTGTTTTAAACTTTTAAACCTATTATTAGATTCTAATCTTTTAAACCTATTATTAGATTCTAATCATAATTACTTTTCATGTTTTTCGTAAAACGAGATGAATTAATCATGGTACATGAAAAAACAAGTATTTCGCGGAACTCACGTGATAAGTGTCTGATTGTGTGCTCTAGATATGTCCAATAGACGAATTTCAAGATTGAATCAAAACTATTGTTCTATGACTCAAGGCTTATGTCTTGCACCTACTAAGTATCGTTTTATAAAACATGGTTAATTTGTTCATAATAGAAATCATCACATCCTCTTCCTCTTCCTCGAAATTATCTTCTTCTCTCTTACCTTTCCTCTCATCGTATTTAAAGTCTTTTATCACTTAAAATTTCATTATAGAACAAAGATAATTTTTAAAAAAAATGTATTTTCAAATGAATATGCAATCGAAATTATACTACATAGATATTAGTCGGATGTCAATTAAAAAAAAAAAAAAATCAAGTGTTGAATATCATATTAATCGGACTTCAAGATAAACATCGGAAATAAAAACACAAAAGGATAGAAGAACAACTAGAGCTAAAGAATAATGGACCCCAAAATTGTCAGTTACAAGGTATTGCCCTACCACCATGAACAACAAGAATATAATGCACTAGAAAAAAAAAAATAATACTAAAAAATAATATACTCAAAAAATGGTTTGAAATGGGAATGAAGAGAATCAAATCTATCCAATGAATTATTTTGTTGTTGATTTACTAGACATAGCATAGGGTCCAAGAATTTTTATTTTTTTTTTGTTCCCCAATCGATGCCTAGTACCTGCTTTAAAGTCTGATTAATTTAAATTCATGTCAGAAAATTTCAGTTGAAAGTGAAGCGTTCTCTATCAAAGACAAATTCATATTAAGGGCTTAAATTCGAAATCTTTGATTGAAGACAGAGGAGCATACCAACTAGTCAATGTGACCTCCTCTTACACCATGACTTTCAGTTGGGGCAGATGAGATCCTATAACGATATTTGATTTTCATTTTAAGGTTTGATTATACTTAAAGTTCCTATTGAAAAGTCTCACGTTGAAAAATAAAATATCAAACTCTATACTTTTGATTTAAAGACTAGTGATGTTATATTCATTGCTATTTAAATTTGGATTTAATTTCTATATAGTGATCGTTTATAAAACTTTAATAATATTAATATATTTTAACGTGTTATAATAATCTTATGTAACTTTTTTGGGTAAATAATTAGGATTAATTATTATGATCAATTGCTTGTTAATTACTATTATAAGTCACCTTATCTGATGATGTAAAAAAATCTTCCCATTAATGTCAGTGTTCAAATTAAGTCTTTATAAAAAATATATATATATAACTAGCATAAAATAACAAATGGAAGACATTAATAAGTAACATAAACGGTTTTAATTAATGTAAATAAATAAATACCTAATCAAAATGTAAGCCATCACAACATGAAGAGTGTGTTGAATGTACTAGAACTTTGCAACAAATAATTTAATTTAAAGATTGGAAAGATCTAGAAGTTTTTTTAAAAGAAAAAAAAATCAATTATGTTAGTCTATGTGTGTTCGGTTTCAGAAAATATTTTTCAATTTTCTCATAGTCGAAAAGTTAAAATTAAAAAAATATTTTTTTTTAAAACAAAGAAAATGAATTCCTTAAACGCATTCCACATTCCACATTGAATGTCCTCCTCCACCCTCTAATAGTATGCCTCATCTTCATCTCTACTCCATAACTCTTATCTCTCATCTCCCACCCTACATATGACATGACAAAAATTATATATAAGAAAAATAGTAGACATTCGATAAAATAATTAAGATATGTACATATAAACTTAATATCACTATTATAAAAAAATAAAAATAAAACACAATTATTGTACTTATTTTCCTTTATTTCTGTATACTTCATCTATCCCTAATTACATGTCAACATTTGAATTAGCCCACATATTAAGAAAATAATAATTGACATAGTGAGTTTACCATTCTAACTCTATTAATTATGAAGTTGATGAATTAAAAAATTAAGATTTTTTAAAAGTTCTACCTTTTTCAAAGTAATTAATTGAGAGTATAATAAGTCAAAAAAATTGTCCTTTCTTAATTTGTCAAAATGGACAAATAAAAAAAGAAAATTGGATAAATAATTAGGGGAAAATGATCCGAAAAATATCAGAACTTTGATTGAAATTGTTGTAACAATCCCAAACTTCGAGCAGGAGCTATTATCCCATGCACTATTTAAATAGTGCAGGGGATAATAGATCGTGCTCAAAATTTGAAATTGTTATAGTATCTTTTTAATCAAAATTTAAATATATTTCAGGCCATTTTCTCAATAATTAGGGATAGAAGGAATAGTTAGAAAAAGGATATAGAAGGAAATTTCTTCACCTTGTGGAATATCAAAATATTCCTTTCCAAAACCCAAGAAAAAACAAATCATCTTTAGTTCACAACAACCAAAAATTCGAAAAGACTAAAACCAAAAAGTGAATTCTACAAACCATGCACCTTCCTAAAGTATGTTGAAAGAAAGGCACGAAATTATGATTTAAAATTTATGAATTAATTTTTTTAATTTTTTTGAATTAATTATTTGTAATATCAATAAATATTTTAAGATAAATAGCATGATTCAATAAAGGGGCCCAAACAAAACATATGGTATGATATTGATCCTTGTATTAGTGTGTATATAGAGATTAACACAATGATAATTAGATTATATTAATTGGTTTATCCTTGTTTTCTTTGTGAATCCATGTTGTATTATTATTGGTATTACAAAAGAAATAATATATTATTGGGTTATTTTGTGTGTATTTTTTTTAAAAAAATACAATAATATTATTAGTGTGTGTATAGAGATTAACACAATGATAATTAGATTATATTAATTGGTTTATCCTTGTTTTCTTTGTGAATCCATGGTGTATTATTATTGGTATTACAAAAGAAATAATATATTATTGGGTTATTTTGTGTGTATTTTTTTTTTAAAATACAATAATATTATTAGTGTGTATGTAGAGATTAACACAATGATAATTAGATTAGATTAATTGGTTTATCCTTGTTTTCTTTGTGAATCCATGGTGTATTATTATTGGTATTACAAAAGAAATAATATATTATTGGGTTATTTTGTGTGTATTTTTTTAAAAAAATAAAAATCACTAGTTTAGGAGCTAATTACTTAGATACACTCTAATTTACAATATTATGTATCTTCCCAATTTTTGGTGCGTTCAGATACATGTATCTCGGGATACACAAGGTCGAAATTAGGTGTAATTTGTTCTAAATATATTACTCCCTTCGTTTCAAAAAGAATGACCTCCTTTCATTTTTAGTCTGTTTAAAAAAGAATGACTTATTTCTTTTTTTGGTAACATTTTAATTTCAGTTTTTCACGTGGCATGTTTAAGGACACAAGATTAAAGGGCAATTTTGTACATTTAACATAATTTTAATTTAGGACCACAAGATTCAAAAACCTTCTTTATTTACTTAAACTCTGTGTCAAGTCAAACCAGGTCATTCTTTGTGAAACGGAGGGAGTATGTATCTGGGATACATAAAAAATCTCGTTCGCTTTCCTCCCATCTCGCTCATCACTCTCATATATCTATCTGGTATCCCAGGTTCATGCGAGTCACTCCAGATATATATATATATATATCTAGTATGATTCGCTTGTATCTAGGATACATAACAATCTCAAATCTCGCTCGCCTCCCTCCCTATTTTAGTGTATCCGGCAGCAAAATTATATGTATCTAAATGTATTTTTCTCAATATACAGTATAAAACTCTTAATTAATGGTAAAATACATAATATTTTGAAAATATAGATAGCAACAGTGTATATGGTTTCTCCATTTTTTTAGTATATATGTCTAATTATATAGTAAGGGGCTCCGTATTTATTTTAGTATAATATCGGTTTTTGTAGTTGGGCACAAATGTAACGGCCCGTTATGAGAAGTGGCTAGAAATGGTGTGGGCTTACACCTTCTTGGTGGGTAAAAATCACAAATATTAACCAATTTCAATTCTTTTAATAAAAAAATAGTTGCAATTATGAAATTTCAAATTTTACGGGTGAAATTTTAGGATATTATTATCGTGAAGTTTTACCAATGAAAATTAAAAACTTATCAAAATTGGTCTCGAATCTAACTCGCCCCAAAATTAGATCAAAGGAAAAAGAATTGCTCAAGCCATAAAAGGACACCATGGTTCTCGTCCTTCACCGATATGGAATTCATTCCATTCATCATATCGCACATTTAATTAAAGTGTTTAAATGAAAATTACTGACAAGTTTAAGAAACCGTCAATATAATGATAAAAGGGTATTATGGTCATTACTCTTGAGGATAGGAAAAATTATATAGAGATAGTTATCCTTGTCTCTTTCAAATGGCTTTAGCCATGGAAATATCAACAATGGCGCAAGCCATGCAGCTCCATGCCCGATTACTCAAATCGGGTCAAGAAGACCCAACCCATTTCCAAAATCTCAGCAAACTCTTCACTTTCTCCGCTCTTTCGCCGTCCGGTGACCTCACCTACGCCCGCCATATCTTAACCAATCTCCGAACCCCAAATTCATACTACTACAACACCATGATTCGTGCATATTCGGATTCTCCTGACCCGACCCGATCTATCACCCTCTTCCTCTCTATGCATTGCAGAAGAGAAGAACAGCCCGGGGTGGTCGTACCCGGACCCGATAAGTTCACTTACCCGTTTGTACTCAAAGCTTGCTCGAAGTTACGGAATACCCAGATGGGGAAACAGATTCATGGGTTGATTTTGAAGTCGGGTTTGATATCGGATCGTTATGTGAACAATGCCCTTATCCATATGTATGCAAATTGTGGTGATTCGAGTCTTGCTTTGAAGGTGTTTGATGAAATGTCTGAAAGAGACGTTGTTTCTTGGACTTCAATGATTGATGGTTTTGTTGATAATAATAGACCTATTGAAGCTATTAAGTTGTTTGAATTGATGATGGAGAGTGGCGTTGATCCGAATGAAGCTACTCTCGTTTCGGTTTTGAGAGCTTGTGCTGATACTGGAGCTTTAAGTATTGGGAAGAAAGTTCATAGCTTTGTTAAGGAGAAGGATCTTAGTATGAAGGCTAATGTTGGTACCGCGCTTATTGACATGTACGCGAAATGTGGGTGCATAGATGATGCACGACGAGTGTTTGATGAGACGATGGATAAGGATGTTTATGCTTGGACAGCAATGATATCTGGTCTTGCAAGTCACGGGCTATCAGAAGAGGCTATGGAACATTTTGAGTTGATGAAGAGTTGTAATGTAAAACCGGATGAAAGAACGATGACTGCTGTTTTATCAGCTTGTAGGAATGCTGGTTGGATTGGTAAAGGATTGTATCATATAAGGAGTATGAAGAAGTATAAGTTAAGACCAACGATTCAGCATTATGGATGCATAGTAGACACGTTTGTGCGTGCTGGACAGTTAGACGAGGCAGAGCAGTTTATCAGGAAGATGATGCCAATTGATCCTGATGTCGTGCTATGGAGAACTTTGTTATGGGGTTGTAAGGTTCACGGAGATGTTGAAAGGAGTAAACGCTTACTAAAGGACGTTGAGCTTTTGAAAATGGACTCTCGTGATTGTGGGAGTTATGTACTTCTTGGGAACGTCTATGCAGCCACAGGGAACTGGAAGGAGAAGGCGAAGATGAGAGAACTGATGAATCAAAGAGGGTTAGTGAAAACACCGGGGTCTAGCAGGATTGAGATTGATGGCAACGTCCATGAATTTACAGCTGGAGACTCCAGACATGTTGAAGCAGAACATATTTACGCAAAACTGAATGAAATGGAAGAGAATGTTAGAAGAGAAGGTTATGATCCTAAAGTTTCAGAGGTCTTACTTGAAATAGATGATGACGAGAAAGCATCTCAACTTCTCCATCACAGTGAGAAACTCGCGGTGTCCTTTGGACTTATCAGAACTGACCCGGGAACTGTTATTAGGATAGTGAAGAACTTAAGGTCTTGTGAGGACTGTCATTCTTTCATGAAACTAATCTCAAAGTTATACCAAAGAGAGATCATCATAAGGGATCGTATTCGTTACCATCATTTCAAGGATGGTGAATGTTCTTGTGGAGATAGATGGTGATTGTACGAGTAGTTGTCGTTGAGAAAAATGTACCAATAGTTTTTTTTTCTCCAATTTTGAAGGACTTAAGATCTTGATCTTTCTGCAATTGTTGTTTCACAAAAAATACTCTTTACTTCTTATTGACAAACCTGTTATTAGTGTCATTACAAAGCAGCAACATACCTAGCAACCTAAACACCAAATTTACAATATTAAAAACAAACCCTATACAGAACTTACCTTTTTTTTGTACGACCAAAGATTCGAAGGCAGCACAGTTTTATGCTGGCCAGGGACAGCCTTCAAACAACTTGAGTCACAAAGATATCTTCCCTACTTAGTTTAGGATGATGCTCTAGAGCAAAAACATACGCAATGTAATCCTACAAGTGGGGTTTGGAGAAGGTAAAGATGTATGCTGACTTTATCCTTGGCCTAGAATGTACGCGGACCTTACCTTTTACCTTTGTGGGGTAGAGAGGTTGTTTCTAATAGAGTTTAGGATCCTTCTCTATATCTCGAAATCTTCAAATCAAGCTGCAAGTACTATGATAACAATAAGGAGCACAACTCCAAAAATCACCATGAGTAAGCAGGTCTGCAGAAATTAAAGTATAATATGTCAAGAAATCTACAGACAATAAATTATTCAGATACAGGAAAATAAGGTGGAAAAAAGTATGGTGTGCACAAAGTGAGAAGGAAACAGATCACCCGTTCAAATTCGCAGATACCAGGTAGCAGATGAGGATGATGTAAAATTGGAGTGTAATTGCATTATTGAATATTCAAAAACTTCACAATACCACTTGAAATTTTCTCAAACTTTAAAACACATAACACCTAACCACTAATTCCTTCCACATATTTTTTCCCTTCTCATTTTCTGATACGTCAACAAATAAACTCGAGTAATTTCATGACTTGACTTGTTATGATGAAATTTCAAAGTCAATCACTGTCTGTTCGCGAGGACTCTTCACTTTCGATGTCACACCGTGTTAGATTCTCAAAAAATACAATACTTTTGGAGAATCCGACACACACCCGTTGACATTTTTGGAGAGTCCGGGCAACATAGAGTACAACATGCTTAAGCACACCAAACCCACACTTTTGTCTTTAGTATGAAGAAGTGTGAAATATGTCAGATTTACCAGAGATGAATTTGATCTTTGGGTCTTTGCAGCTTTAGCAAGTTGTGTTCTCCCTTGTGCAGTTGCAGCATGAGAGTTCTCAATGTTGGAACCAATATCATCTGAGAAAGAACTGCAAACATCAAAATATGTTTCCCTTGGTACCTGAATGCTAAAATGAAAGAGAGTGATTTTACCGATCATGGTTCCTTGCTCGTGAACAAGCACGGCAAGATCCTTGAATATCTCATTCACTTCACCTATCTGTTGTTGTACTTCTTGTATTCCCTGGTCCCTTTCCTCTATAATAGCTTCATTAAAGGAAATCTCATTGTCCAAAAGAACAACCTCTTGTCTGCAGCAGAGGTACGTGGAAGATAACACAGAAACTAAATATCACGAAGCCAAAAGTTGTAATAAAAGGAGATATGTTAAAGGGGGTAAAATTGTTGATCTTATATGACACTTGCATCACAACATACTTTCATTTGATGTGCCTGAGATCAAAGACTTGTAACTTCAGCAGGTGACAAGAAATTGGAAGTTTATATATGTTGTCATTGCAAGCAAATAACACTGGATGTCAGTGCCCATTTTAAGGGTGAATTACAGTTATCATCCTCTGACTTCCCGTCATTGATGTTTGTGACATATTAAAGAATACCTAAGGGGAAAAAAAGGAATTACATACCATGTCTTTTCACAAAAGTATTAGGAGCCCCATTCACATTCCAACTACAATCAATAACAAGCCGGTATTTTGAACACATCACATTAACATCAACTTTGCCGCAAGTGTGTTTTCGAAAAAGTTAAGTTTGTTTCAGAAAAATCTCAGTTAGATTCAATCATATTTGACACCTCTTCCGAACAATTTGTCTTTGCAGAAACTTCACACTATTTTACGCCGTGTTGCAGAAATGTAAATCACCAAAGTCCCAACCCCTAATCCCAAAGCTTGAAATGTCATCTGATTTCTCTACACACCAAACAATCCTCCATCTAATTTACACTAGACCAAAAAGTCACCTTGAATCCAAATTTAAAGGCTAATTTCATTTCCTTGGCATCAAGAAATTGACAGCAATCTTGCTGGTAAATTTTAGCAATTAATTAAACCATCAGCACAACAAAATTATGATTAAGAGAAAGCATCAAAGAGTACTAATATTAGGCTATTTTACCTTCTAGATTCCACAAGTAGAGCTCGCTGCTCTTGACCTTTATCTGAAGAGGCATCTATCTCACTGTCCGTGTAACTGTTTATCAAAAGAGGATGAACTATAAGTGAGAGGTGACAAAAGAACATGCAGGTACAAAGTTTTATTTGAGAAAATCAAACAGCAAGATCAATTATTGAGATACAAGTTGATTTTAATGTACTTCTTCATATTTCTAACTAGGTTACTATAAGTAAATTCCAGTGAAGTATAACCCATCACTTACCTAGAAGGAAGAACTGCTGGGGGAACAACAGGTGAATATGACGTCTCCCTCTCAGCTGCAAGCCTCTGAGCTTTTTGAAACTCCTTCAATACAGCTTGAAAATCTTTAGCAAGCTTAGCATCTGTAATTTTCTTGCTAGCCTGAGAGTAAAAGAATGAATTCACATTATAAGCAAAAGAGAGAGGTGTGACAGAAGAAGAGCAAGAAATAGAAACAAGGCTGGCAAATGTTTAAAATATAAACAAATCGTAACGAGAGAAGATGAATACATGTTTTGCACATACATATCAAAGTGCAGAACCCCCAAGACAAACACAGAGAAACAGAGAACACTTTTTGAAACTTACACTGACTTCAATTCGATGATCTGTTTCGCTGGCTTGCTTAAGTTTAGCAGAAGTATCTTTCACTAATTGCCCAATATGTAGTCTTGTCTTGTGCCTGCAGTTGAGAAAATCAGCACAAGTACCAAACAATTTTGAAATTATTTTAAACTAGTTATACCCATTATGGAACTACAACCTAAAAAGTAGTATGCCGCCTTTCAGTTCATCAACACACTATAATTGTTGCTGCGGCATTAAGTTGGGCTGGGGATTACAAACATTGGACTGCAAAGCTGGTATTAAATATCTGCCTAAGCAATGATTCAACATGCAATCTCAAATCCCAAAGATCAATACATTGCCTTAACCCACCCTACAAACTGCTTCTTTTTCCTTGTTACCTACCCATAACTTAGTCCTCTATTCACACTGGGAAAAGGGCAAGACATTCACCCTGTTCAAGATGAAGGCATTTGATAGGCAACCCTTGAAGTGCTATCCCACTTTTTCAAAAATTATTTTGGTGTCACGGGGCTATGGCACCTATTCACCCAATTACCTTAAAGATATTCTGAAAAGAAACTGCTAGGACAAAAATCATCGACATACACATGTAAACATGAAACAATTATTCATATCAGCCAATAGAAGCACTGTGTTTTTATTAGACAGATCTGGACTATGTTTCTTACCATTTTTGGCGTTTTCTGGATCATGCCATGATGCATAAAACTTGCCCTGTGCAGATGGTATGAACAGTCAAATATCAGAGGAGAACAGACACTACTGGATTGCTATCACCTGGCCCCTGTTTGCATTTTCTGCTTTACTTACCCATACCTTTAGCCAATTTAGCTCTTAATACAGGACCATTCAAGTCAGTTTTTTTTTGTTATTGGGATGACGGAGAGGAACAATAGATGTTCTAATGACAAGAGAGACAGCATAGAACAGGTTAGTTGTTTGAAAAATATGTACCAATGGTGTAGGAAGGCTCATGTATCTGATCTTGACCACTACTAGATCTCTCATCTCTCTTTTTTTAAATAACCTTGGTGTCCAAGTCAGCTTGAGCACACCTAAACTAATTTCATGGCGTACCTTTTACCTCCCACCACCGTGTAACTCAGTCTACCAAGGCTAAGACAGATGAAAAGCAATCTCCTAGTGTTTTTGCTTCCGTTGGGATTTGAACCTGAGACCTCACGATTCTCAATCCACTTCATTGACTCACTATTAGATCTCTTGTACTCCTTCAGTATTTAGAAGGATGTTCCTCTTTCTGATGTACTTATTTTGGTATCTTCTAGGTACCTTATCATCAGAAATAATAATAATAGCTTTTTCTAGTGTTGTGTATATATATATATATATACACGAATTTACTATGGTAAAAGGATTTTGAAGAGTTGACATTTAACTAATATTACCATTATGCTGCTTATGATTAATTACTCAACTTGCACGCTTTACTTCAGTGAAGCACATGTGCAACTTGTGGTGCAACATGAATCTTTCATGTTTTTTGTGTTTCATGCTCATATGCAAGCGGACTTCTATAAGGCATATGCATTGCAAATCAAAAACTTCTTTCATACTATCTCCTTAGACCAGAAAACATGCTTTATCATCCATCACTAAACACATATCCTATACCTTCAAATTGTTTCTGATAAAAAAAAAGTAGATGGTCCATTTCTTCTATCTACAATAAGTTCATCACCCCCACGTATAGGTTTGTTCTTTTCTCTTCTCCTTCCAAATGTCTCCCTCCAGACTGTCTATTTTTCCCAAGTATACAAGATATTACACTGTAAATTTTCCAACATAAATAAGACTTGCCATTTCTTTTTTTTCTTTTTTTCCTTTTTTTTTTATGACAAGAGAAACCCGCAGCCGCTACCCTTTGGGTGCGCACAGGGTAAAACCCCCGCTCCTATGCAATAGCTCGCAAACCACATAGGAGAGGTAAACCGCACTAGGCAAGCCTGGTGCGACGAGCTCGACCCAGAAGGCAAACCCCTTGCTTTCGCTGGCAAGGGGTTTCGAACTTGAGACCTCCAACATGGAAGTCCCAAGCTCAAACCACTGGGCCACCCCGAAGGGTAATAAGACCTGCCATTTCGCATGCATGAAAGCTCTTTGTTCACATACACAGCAACAACAACAACATATCACGTGTAATCACACAAGTTTGGCCTGGAAAGGATAGGATATACGCATACTTTCCCACTACCTTTGTTCACATACACAACAACAACACACACAGTATAATCACACAAGTGGGGTCTAGAGTAAGCTTATGATGTACGCATATCTTACCTCCTACCACATTGCTAATAATTCTTTTAAAAGGCTATAAACCCAAAAAAAAAATCAACTCAATTTTACCTCAACTATCAAATCCTATCAAAAACATGCAATAGCAACAACAACAAAAAAAACTCATCTTTACTGATCAAATATCAGATAGAAAAACTCACAACTTGTCACGTAGCTCCGGGGTATCCTTAGGGGTACCTAGGGTGTTAACCAGCCTCTGAAAAGTGGAAACGGCGGTGTTGATCTGGAAAATTCCAGAGGCCATAGCTTGGGTCGGGTCTTGCTTCCCGTTGACATTGCTCCGACGAGGACCCGATGATCGACCGGCATGTAGATCTTGGAAGCTCATTTCTTCGAATTTTGATCAAAATTCAGAAATCCAAACCTAAATTGGGCGAAAATGGAACAAGAAATTGGATTCGTGCTACACGTTTAAGTGCTTCTTCTTTTTTTCGTATTTACTGTTCTCATTAGAGTCCGACTAATCTGAATTTATGAAGCCCTAGAGTTTCCTTTAGGAAAAAATGTTCTTTATCATGTTCGAACTCAAAATATCTAATTAATACTTTGTTTAAATGGTTGTTACATATTATTTCTTAATATATTGTTTTAATGATTATCGTGTTTGGATAGATTGTATCATTCTCCGTCTTTACATAATATCACACATTCATTATTTTCAATGATAAATCTAAAAGAAAAAGTATGATATAACAAATAAAGAAAATATTAAGATGACGACACAATCACACACTAAATCAGTCATTATATAAAATAGATTTTTTCGCCGTTACCTAGTGATACGTTACAATATAATTTAAGTAACAATAAAAAAAATCATTTAGACTAATCATATAAATACGATACAAAGGGTAATAACCAATCAAATAAAATGTAAGAGAGGAACAATCTCATCCGCCATGTGGAATGCAACTATATACACTACTAATGATTATTAAACTATTTTAGTGCAATTTTGTACTCTCTTTTTTCTTTCTTGAAAGAGAACTGAACTAAAAAATAATTTATTGAAAGATAAATGTGTGTTTTACTTTTTTTAGGGTAGTGACATTCATAAAGTGTATATCCGAATTGAATTATTACTTCTCAGATTAAATTAGGCCTTCAGTTTAGTTGGATGCTAGCGATTGACATATTTTTTTTAGTGTTATGGTAAATAAGTAAAAACAGATACTATCTCAAAACTATTTATATATAATCTAGCACTAAGTAGACAATATGGAATAGAAAGTGAGGTTCGGGGGATGGAATAGTGAAGGAATAGGTGGAAAGAAAATAATGAACTTAGAATGACATACCGCTCTGCCATTGAGCTAACTGAGGAACAACAAGAGATTCAATCTCATATAGTTAAATTCTCGTTTTCAACTCATAACCAAAAAAAGACGAATGTGATTATTAATTTCACCATTACTACAATATGCACAATCCTTCAAGGATGCAATGCATGAACTATATTAGCATTATCAATCTAATTGGATTTAAATACACCTCTAATATTGCAACATGAGTGAAATATATTCTTAAATTCTCGTCAAATTTATGAGTGTTTTTAATACTTCTTTTGGCTTTTTATTAAGAGTCCCATGCTCCTACAAAAATTTGAAACCACTTGCTACGTCATGTGTCAGATCGGGGGTGTATCTAAGTTCGAATGTGATCGTTAATATCACCATTACGATACAACATGCACAATCCTTCAAGAATGCAACAAATGAACTATATTAGAATTGTCAATCTAACTAAACTTAAATAAACTTAAATAAACCTTTAATTTTGTAATATGAGTGAAATACATTCACGAATTCTCACCAAGTTTAGAGGTATTTCTACACTTCTCTCGACTCTTTATTAAGAGTTTCATTCTCTTACAAGAATTTTAGACTACTTGTTATGTCGTGTAGTATATAGGGGTATATCTAAATTCAATTAGTCAAATAGATGTGTATTTTTAAAACTGTCAATAATTCAGTGACGAAATTAATAATTTGTGTTAAATTCAAAGATATTCTCAGTAATTCTCTTTTTACATGTCCAAAAAAAATTAATAATTGCCCCCCATATCTTATATCTATGTCCAAAAGTTTACTATTTTCATATTTCTTCAATCATACTTTTGAACTAGCTAATCACAAAACTAGTTAATTAAAATAATAATTTTAAAATTTATCTACAACAAGGGAAATGTGACAATCATTTAAGGATAGTGAGAGTATTTATTGATTTTCTATTTTTAGTTTGCATATTTAAAATTTTATCTTGTCCTTTTGTATTGGATTTGGTTTTACTTGCAAGATCCGTGCCTTCAATTAATATGATCCAGTCTATCATAACATTAAATGTTGATCTCAAAATATTTTCAACAATAATTTAGTTTTACTCGTTCAATATATTTAAATAAATATTGAATTATATTTATCTAATTTCAAAATTTAAAAAGATAATTATTTTTATTTATTTTATTTTTGTTATTAAATATTATTTATTTTAATATTTAAATGACTTATAATTAATAAAAGTGATATAATAAAAATTATTATTTTTATTTATGATTCTTTAGTGGACGTGCCAAGTCAATATGGACAACTAAATATGAATAGAAAAAGTATATTCTAGTATCTTTCATCCGATGTCCAATATTTTTGTATAGAATCGTCAATTAATCTAATGTAAGGTCTATCTCCTTAACGTATTTTTTTTCCATTATTTGAATACAATTTTTTTAATTAAGAATGAAGAAATTACAAATTATCCATCCACTATATTCGAGTAGCTCTCCAACAACTTTAGGTTAAGAAGGCAGATTGCAATTGTCCTGATTGTTTCTTTACTACTTGAACTCGCCATCAAGGTCAATTTGGATTCGCGCTTCGTTTGACCTATTTAAGAGTAAATATTTTCTATTATTAAGAATTTTCAAATTGCTCAAATTAATAATAACATTAATAACATATATTTAATATAATTGAATAGATAAAATCAGAAAAAAAAAAGATAAAATGTACACAATCTTATAATCTTTATGAGACTATTTTAAAAGATTCTCGATTTAAATAAGGCGTATCAATGCAGTATAAAAAGGAACATATCAAAATAAAGAAGACACAATAACTAATTAAAAAAATATTATATATCTTTTAATCCAAAATCTAAATCTAATCATTCATTTGTGATTAGAAAAACTCATTGAGTAGAATAAAGAAACAAGAAAAAAATATAGTGAGCTTTTTTTTTTTCTTGCTAAGAGAAGAATGGGGTCAAGCTTGAGTATAAGATAATTTATACTAATAGTGTTATGAAGGCTCAATTTCTTTAAAAAGAAAATTTGAAGACACACAAATCCGTTTGATTATAGATTTTAAATATTTTTTTATTCGAATATTTATAGTGGTAAGATTGAAACTTGATTAAAGGTCATTCAATCATTTTTATAATTTTAATAATTTGCGACAATATACGTTAAGCTGAATTAGTATTAGTAAGAAGCCTTTTGTTTATATCATTCAACTAGTTCATTCTATTAGAAATAATCTTTGTATCTTCACAAGGTAGAATAAAAATCACATACACCTCACTTATATATGCTATTTTTATTTTTATTTTATATTAAACACAATTTAACTTTATTAAACTCCAACTTTATTTATATTATTATACAATAATATATATACAATTTCACAAGTGTAATCTTGAAAAAAATAAGTACCTACTATAAATAATTTTTTAATATTATAGTAGTACTAAGCTCTCATTTAGTTGACAAATAAGTTATCCTGAAATTAGTTATTTTATCATTAATGTAGGATACTAATATTACAATTTTGAGATAACTAATCCCAAAATAAAAATTCTCATAATTTTATTCCAATCATATATGAGATGAATTCATCCTCAAATTAATTATCCCTTATTCCTCGTATTAAATGATTTTGACATGTATATATTTTTAATTTTTCATTTGATGTTTAATATTCGTATTGAAATCCAACTAATACAAATTCGTATTGTATAAATCCCATTCAAAGAAAAACGCTGCCTATTAAAGATCATTTATACTCAAAGCTCAAATCCAAGAAATCTTATTAAAGAAAGAAACAATTCTATCTACGACACCACATTCGTCGGTATTAAAATAAAATAATGTATTTTTAAGAAGAACGTTAGAAACAAAAAGGATAAGGGTGACATCATTTTTGGTGGAGAACAGAAAGAAGCCATACGGCACCGTTTTCATCACTTTGTCTCTCTAAATTCTCTTCTTTAACCATTGTCTTCTTCTGTCACACTCTCTCTCTCTCTTGTTTCTCTCTCTACACAAGCTTAGCTAGCTAGCTCCAGCAGTGTACTAGTACAATTCTCACTCTCACATTTCTCTTTATCTCTCACACACCAACACCTTTCACTGTGTGTAAAAAGTTGTTCAAAAGCTCATTGCTTTATGTGAAAGTTTTCTTTTTTTTTTTGTTTTTGGTTTTCTGTAGCTGTTTTTGAAAGTTGAAAAACCCTAGCTAGAAGTTAGATCCACGAATACCCATTTGGGTATATGTTTGTTTAGTGTAGTTTTATTTGAGCTATGTGTTAAGGAAAAAAAAATGGCTAGCTCCGACCCGAATAAGCGTCCTCGACCCGGTCCATGGCCACCTGCACCGGAATCTGCAGCAATGCCGCCTACTACATGGGCAAAGAAAACTGGGTTTCGCCCGAAATTCTCTGGGGAGACGAATGCTAGTGATTCTGGGCAAATTGGGATACAGCAGCAGTCGACCCGGAGGAGAGAGTCCGACCCGAATTTGGATCTTGAAGCGGGTCGGGTTAGGACTAGACAGGAGAAGGTTAATGGGGAAACGACAGGTGAGAAGGATAAGCCACCTGTGAGGAAAAGGAGAGACTCTGATGGTGGTAGTGGTGGTGGAGTGGCTAAGAGTACTAATGGACAAGCAGTTGGTACTACTGCTACTGCTGAGCCAGCTGCTGCAGCGACGACTGCAGCTGCGGCTCAGCAGCCGGCTCGAAGAGTTTCGAGGAATGAAGAGGTTGTGGATGTGTTGCCACAAATAGTTGATGATGATGGTTTTATGTCTAGGCATTCACATATGAAATATGAGCTTAGAGATACTCCTGGTCTTGGTGAGATGATTTTTGAATATGTTGTTGTTACTGTTCTTTCCCATGTTTGTTGTGTAATGCTCTACATTTTGCATTATTTTCGTTGTTGTTATTGCTCCCATATATGTATCACCTTTTTCAAACAGTTTGGCGTGCTTTATTTAATCCGAGGGTCGATCAGAGACAATCTCTTTATCTCTACGAGCTAGGGGGTAAGGTCTGTGTACATTCTACCCTCCCAATACCCTACTTGTGGGATTACATTGTATATGGGTATGTTGTTGTTGTATTGTTAGTTAATCGAAAAAGCTAACATTTTTCATTGAATTCCTTGTTTGATAGGATGATGAGATGCTATGTGTTTGTGGGGTTTGGTCCTTTTTCTGTTTTGAGCATGTAATTGTGATATTGAGTATTGGCAAATGTATTTAGATTTAAATTAAGATGAGTTACACCTGTTCATGTGAAAAAGATTTGATCTTTAAGTCTTAACTGTGAGGTTAATGATGTATGTTGATATGTAGTAGTTCCTATTGGACGATATGTATTTAAAATTATCTTTCAGTGGGATTGTTGATATTAATTCCGCTTGTGATTGGAAAAGCTGTCATTTTCCATTGAATTGCTGGTTGATAGGATAATCAAATGACATCTATTTGTGTTTTCTTGGACTTATCTGTTTTGAGCATGTAATTGCGATATTGATTATTGAGTATTGCGAATTGTAATTAGGTTGAAATTAATATTAGTTACACCAGTCCATGTGGAAAAGATTTAATCTTTTGGTCTAATAGTGAAATTACTGATGTATGTTCATATGCTGCAGTTCCTATTGGACTCTATGGATTTCAACATTATCTTTCAATATTGGGATCGTTGATATTAATTCCACTTGTGATAGTTCCAGCAATGGGTGGTAACTATGTGAGTATTTTACTTTCTTTTCATTCTTATTCATGCTACGTTTACTATAGTGTTAGTTTTGTCTTATTTAACTGATGTGAACTGATAAAAGTTGGTACATATAGGAGGACACATCAAATGTCGTTTCCACTGTGCTCCTTATGTCAGGAGTGACGACTCTCTTGCACACGTCATTTGGCTCGAGGTTGCCTCTGATACAGGGCCCTTCATTTGTTTATCTTGCTCCTGCTCTTGCAATAATTAACTCCCCAGAGTTCTTGGCATTGAAAGGAAATGTATGTTGCAAAGCTCCTTCTTGCTATGATTCTTTTCTCATCACTGAATTTAACAATAGGTCTAATTATTGGTTGCCTATCAAGTCGTTATTCATGTCAAAACATAGTAGTAAGAAGATCTCCTACTTGCAGAAATTCAAGCATATCATGAAGGAGTTGCAGGGAGCTTTAATAATTTCTTCAGCTTTTCAAGCAATTCTTGGATACAGTGGGCTGATGTCAGTATTACTGAGGTAAGAAATTCTTGTTCAACATTTGTATGTGTTCTTCTCCGTTGTCTTGCTGTGCTGCCAATATATGCTTTAATAATTATGCAGCTAATATTTGGAGCCTCATGGATGCTAATAAAACTGAGTAGTCGTTTCTGTTTCTTATTGGATCTTTTCATCATCATTGGTTCTCAGCTAAGACAATTCTCTTCACTCTATTTTGCTGGTATTATACCCAGTAGATTGATCAATATGACCTACAAACATTCTTTAGTGCTAAAATATAGCAATGTCTCCCTGTGCTTACGACGCTATATGATGTTTGATGATTTTAGGGAAAATCAGGATTTAGTTTTAATTGACTACAATGGAGTGGTCTTTTGGGTGCTAATTGAAGGACAATTATTTTTTTTCACACCATTAGTAGGTCTAGTAGTTTAGATTTGATTTGATTAGACTGAGCCACCGATTTCATTGAGAAGGTAATTCCTTCTTCTTCTCCCTCCCCCAAACACATTTTTTTTTACTTTCTTTCGTATTTGTGTATTATGATCATGGAGGGGCCTCTCCATTAATAGTAGACGTAGTAGTACTCTTGTAGTTTCTTGTTCTTCAATTTCTATTGCTATCTGTTGTTTCTTGTACTTCGATTATTGTATTATTTTGTTGTTGCTGTTGTTATTCCTTTTTTTTTCCAGAATGCTTTGTCGTGCTATTCTTAGCTAGCGTTTGGCCATAGATTTCCAAATATTTTTGACAAATATTATTTGGGTGAGAATTTGGGTGAAATTTCACCATGTGTTTGGCCATAATATTTGGTAAATATATTTCACTTTTTAAATAAATATGATTTATACCCATAAGTTTTAAAAACTATCAAAATTAACCATAAGTTTGTATTTCATAGCAAGATAGAAACGTAGACGTAACAAGATTCATGACTTCCGCAACAAGTCAATTGGATCTTCGTTGCAACAAATAACTAGTATCCATGACATTGGAGTAATGCGGTAGTTTGGAATGAGTGCAACAAGCATCATTCCATACATCATGAAGTAGACGAAACACGTGACTTTATTACACTAAGTCGATTGTTCGTCATTTTCATCAACAACCATATCATCACTTTCATATTCATTGAATATTTTATCACTGCTTTGGTGTTCACGTAAAAAATTATGTAATATAACGCAAACAAATACTATAGATGGTGTTTTTGTAAAAGATGAAAGTTTGGTGTAGAATTTGAATTTTTAAAAGTTACCAAATAATGAGATTTGGCCTAGATACTAGTTTTTTCTAGTATTTGGGTTATTTGCCAAAAATATTTGTCAAATAATAGCAAATTATATGGACAAACACTATTTGCCAAATTTCCCCCCAAATTTTATTTGGGAAATCTATGGCCAAATGGGTCCTTAGTATTTTGGTGTGGTTTCTTCAATCTTCACTTCTGTTGTTTCTTTATATGCTTCTCCTTGAGCCGAGGGTCTATCGGAAACAACCTCTCTACCTCGCAAGGTAGGGATAAGGTATGTGTACACGTTACCCTCCGGAGACCCCACTTGTGGGAATACACTGGGTTTGTTGTTATTGGGATCATGGAGGGACCTATTTTAATTTGACCGGTCCCATATCATCCGTTTAGTTACCTTTTATCTTTTTCTTTTTGGGCAATAGGAAATGCCATGAATCACTTGAAAACAATATGAGCTTTAGCAATGTTGTGTTATTGAGGAGGGTTCTACACTTCGTGGCTGTTTAGCATACTTAATAATTCAGTCTATGGTTATTACCAAAATAATAATAATTCAGTCTATGGAGGCAAGAAAGATTGAGACTATCCTATAAACTGAATTATTATCATTCTCAAAATAATAATTCAGTCTATGGGATAGACTCAATCTTTCTTGCCTCGAGATGATTGATCAATTGGAATCAAATGATAGACAATAACAATAACAGAAAATCTTGAAAGTCTCATCTTTAGATATTGACTACCAGACTATATAGATGGCATATGAACTTGATTCCCCTGCCGTAACATATTAACAGAGGAAGTTCTAGTTAACGAGAACACAGAAAAATAAAGGAATTTTGTTCTTCTTATAACCAATCCACCACAACTATTTCTTCTAGGTTTAAGTAGACTTTAATCACTTAAACATGGTGTGCAAATATAAATCTAAACACTGTTTTTCCCTATTCTGGTTTAGGTTGATCAATCCTGTGGTTGTGGCTCCTACTGTTGCTGCTGTTGGACTTTCATTCTACAGTTACGGTTTCCCACAAATTGGTACATGTCTTGAAATCGGAGCGGTTCAGATATTGTTGGTTATTTTTTTCTCTCTTGTAAGTTGCCACAATGTTCTTGTTTAGATATCTTTCTGTATCATGTAAAACAATTGAAATGTCTCAGTAGTGGTGCAGATAATGTTGGTCACGACATTTTCCTTTATTTTTCTTCCTGGGTATATCAGATTAATATTTTCTTTTGCATGTATATAATGTCTAACTTCTTCAATGTAAATCTTTTCTTGTCATGCAGTACCTCCGTAAGATATCTGTTCTTGGTCATCGCGTGTTTCTCATCTACGCGGTAAATCAGTGGTGTACTTTTTTTTAGCTTTTATTCCTTTTCTGTTTGCTCTCACCTTCCTCTAACGATGCATTCATGTTCATGTGCAGGTTCCATTGGGTCTAGCAATAACATGGGCTGTAGCTTTCCTTCTGACGGCAGTGGGAGTATATAGCTATAAAGGCTGTGATGTGAATGCACCAGTATCACATATAATATCCGATCACTGCAGAGAGAATATCCCTAAGATGAAGCACTGTCGTGTTGATGCTTTACATGCATTAGGATCTGCTCCGTGGTTTAGATTCCCTTATCCATTGCAATGGGGTATGCCCGTCTTCCACTGGAAAATGGCTCTAGTAATGTGTGTTGTATCCATAATTTCATCTGTGGATTCGGTGAGTTGTTTCCTTGTTGAGTTTTAGTTTTCTTATCTTTTATAGTAACAAGTTACTCCTAAGATATTGCATTTTCAGTAGTGTCATCTTGTGAGCCGAGACTTATTTTAAGAGCTGTCTGACATTTATATAGACCTCAACTCAGTTGCTTCACTGTGCCTTGAGTCAACTTGAGGAAAATATATTGGTCAAGTAGAATTTTTTATTTATTACCGTGGTGTTCGGGCTAGCTTGCGCGCACCTCGACTAATACCTCCCATCTCCCACCAGCAACAGGGTACCATGTATCTCTGTTGGGAAGTAATCACCTAATGTTTTTGTCTCTGCTGGGTTTGAATCTGTGACCCCATGGTTCCCAACCCATTTCATTGACCACTAGGCCACACATGCGGACTTGTTGGAAATCTGTGCATCTTGTCTTAATGCAGTGTTGTGGGTTATTCCCCCTTGTCCCAGCAGGTGACCTCTTTGCAAACTGAACGAATGGAACACCCTAAGCTACGTGTAGCCTATGTAGTGGAATTTCAAAATCATAGAGTTTGGATGTTTTAAGTACTAAATTCATATGTATTAGATAATTCTTATTACTTGATCAAACAAAAAAAATGTATTAGATAAGTTTTGTAGTCTTGATATTGTGTGCCGCACTTCGACAAGTGACATCACCTCTTGGTTTTCACTTAGAGCAAGCATTGTGGTTCTTTGCACTTTTGCTTTGAGAAACACTCGGCTACTTGCTTTAAATATATTCTCAATGTTCCAAGCTTGTTAATCGACTTAATATTCTCGGACTGCCTCTTTGCTTAATAGTTCTCTTCTCAAATATTAGACAATATATAGAATGCAGTGTTGAACTATCATTTTTTTTCTTCTAATTATTCTCTTGTCAACTTTTAGGTTGGGTCATATCATGCATCATCATTGTTGGTTGCGTCCAGACCGCCAACACCTGGTGTTTTAAGTCGAGGAATTGGTCTTGAAGGTCTTTGTAGCCTCTTGGCTGGTCTATGGGGCACAGGAACTGGATCTGCAACTTTAACTGAAAATGTGCACACGATTGCTGTTACCAAAATGGGAAGCCGCAGAGCAATCGAGTTGGGGGCATGTGTTTTAATTGTCCTGTCTCTTATAGGTATGCTTCTAGAGGTAACTTTATGAATTTATAAAATTCGCATAAATATCCCCTCATAGGTTGTAGGCCTTTCTGGAAACTGTTAACATTTCTCAACTCCCAAAAATTAAACCATGTTTCATGTCAGGAGGTAGAATAAAAGTACTGATTTTGTGTTTGGAAGAGGAAAAAAACTTTGGTAGACCTTTTTAATTCCACAATCTCTATGTTCTACTTTGTGCGTGTAATGTTTCTTTTTTTAATAAAAACAGTTTTCATATTAGAAACTTCATCACCAAGAATCAAGATAGCCAGTTAGCATGTGCTCTAATTTGGTAATGAGATGATTCACTCGGACCATACAATGAAGAGAAAATGGGACATAAATACTGGATGTTGTAAGATATGAGAAGAACTTGCAGCATATCTTTGTAAATTATCTTTGCCGTTTTGAGAACTTTTGGATGTTACCTTGGTAAAATAATGCATTTAGTCTCCTCTCCATACATCATGTTCTACAGTTCTAATGATTACAAAACTATCCAAAGGTGATGAATCTCCCCGAGTGAGTTCTACTTGTTACTGATATATATTCTGATTACTTGGGAAATGGGACATACAATGAAGAGAAAATGGTACAAAAAAACAGCCTCTCTACCTCCCAAGGTAGGTAGGGGTAAGGTCTACACACTATCATCCCTAGCCCCCACTTGTAGAATTACATTGGGTATGTTGTTGTATTACTACGTTTTTATCCGCTTCATTTTTGGATTTGTGGCACTTACACTTAAACTACCATCTCCTCAAGGTTATGGGCAGAAGTGTAACAATTGTTTTTCCTTCCAAATTGACAAAGATTGAGCATCACGAAAGATATGAATCTGACTGATTCAATCATTCTTTGTTTGTCATTATGCAAAAGGAGTGGGATGAAGAAAATGTGAACGAAGAGATGTACAAGTTTGGGACGACTGGCCGAGGGAGGGAACTTTTCCCATATTAGAAAACTTTGAAAAACTAAGCATTTCACCTCATGGTCAACAACCTTGAGGAGGTTTTCTTTAGTTTCAAGGGTCAGGAGCGTTATGATAGACCTGAAGGGGTAATTTGTATTAATTCTGTTCTTAATTTAGAGAGGACTAGAACTGTTACCCCTTTTTTTTTCATTATCTAGATCAACTCGATCATGTCAACTAAGGAAAACAAGTTGGAAACTTTTATCACGATTCATTCTACCCTCCTCTCCCCTCAAGAAACCCCCACATCTTACAGCATTGTGAAGAGAATTATGTTTAATATTAAGGAATCCCAAAGAAATTTAGGAACGGACCTATACTCCCTCGAGCTCAAAACCTGTGCACCAACTGGCGTTGTGTTCCAACGTTTAAGGGATTTCTCGGGTATTAAAAAAAGGCAGGCCTTTGGTTTAGTGGTAAAGGAAGTACAACACAGGATGTGTAGGCAAACATCGTGAGTTTGAAGCCCCTCGAAGATTAAGCTTGGTGGTAAAGTGGGAGGGTAAGGAGGCGAACCCAAATTCCTCCGAATTTCATGGATATCCTATCTCTTTCACTTTTACCCTTGAAAAGTCATGTACTGGTGTAATTGACACCTATTTGCATATATTGAGTCACCTATTTGTCATAGGGATGTAATGCTTAACCATGCTCCTTTCTGTCATGCAAACAGGTAAAGTAGGAGGTTTTATTGCATCAATACCGGATGTCATCGTTGCAGGCCTATTATGCTTTATGTGGACAATGCTTACCGCTTTGGGCTTGTCAAATTTACGCTATAGCGAAGCAGGAAGCTCGAGGAACATTATCATAGTTGGCCTGTCTTTATTCCTATCCCTCTCTATACCAGCCTATTTTCAGCAGTATGGCATCACTCCGAAAAGCAACTTGCAAGTTCCGAGTTATTTTCAACCATATGTCGTGGCTTCTCACGGTCCTATCCGGACAAACTTTGGAGGGGTATGCACCTTCGACTAGAATCACATGAACTAAAATTCTCTTGAATCGATCCTAAACTATTTCTTTTGCAGCTAAACTACATTTTGAATACATTGTTATCACTCCACATGGTGATAGCATTCTTGGTAGCTGTGATCCTCGACAACACTGTGCCAGGGAGTCGGCAGGAGCGTGGGGTGTACGTTTGGTCTGACCCCGAAACAGCAAAAAGGGAACCTGCTGTAGCCAAAGACTACGGATTGCCATTCAGAGTTGGCAAACTCTTCAGATGGGTGAAATGGGTTGGACTATAAAGCCTGGGGTTATGATTTGCTGCTCAGAGTTTCATCTAGCAACATTTTTTCAAGCTCGTCAGGGAAGTCTCGCCAGAAAACGAACATCTCGGATTTGATGAGGCAACACGAATTCTATGACTTCTCCACACGCGAGGCGAGTTTATCGGACAAGTAGGTCTTATAGAGAGGGAGATAGTTGTGTACATGTAATATATCAGTTTGTATAAACTGTATTTAGTTTAGTTGAAATGTCCAGGTGAACCTATTTCTCTCTTCTTTTTTCTTTGGTCTCCCACTTTGTTTTCATTTCTGCAGAGTTGAGAGATTCAACTATGTATGTACCACAGAGATTAATATTATTCTTTTTGTTACATTAATGTCAGCTGAACTCTACAAAATAGTGTTCAATCATGAGTTTTCTTATAAACTCGAGTATCGTTCGTTTGTTATAATGAAATGTTGTTATAGAGAACATATATTATGACATAACAATAACATATCAAGGGGTTGTGGAGGGCAGAGTAGAGTATATATAGACTTTACCACTATTTCGTAGGGGTAGAGTCTATTTTCGATACAAAAATGAGAGTAGTAATAACAATCAGAAAACATATAATATAACATAGCATGAAGATTATCTGTTATTATGGTAAATGACTATAGTGTGGAGAGGTTTGTCGGTAAGTCCTACAAAGAGAAAAGAAGGTATTAATTTGATCATAAGCGTATCCTTTAACTTGGTTTTAGTTGATATTTTTGCTTAATGACTTTGAGTGTGTACAATTAGATATTTAAACTTGTATAAAGTTAAGTAGATACATGCGTTCTACATGTCAATTGATGTGACATACGTTCAAACTGAATTGTATTATGTTGTATAGAACGCATATTGAATACGTAATTTTCTAGATTAATAGAATTTAATCTATAGTATCATACCCTGTCTACATTCAATGAATTTAGTTCTAATGCACTACCAAAATCCAATTTATCTACTTTTAGGTTAAAAATAAAAATAGAAAATGTGCACTAAGTTTCTATTATATGTTGTGCAAGAAAAAATTGAATCACATAGATTTATTTATCGCATCCTTATAATAGAATCTTATAATCGGTCTTTTTTTAAATTGTGTGTATAACGAAAACTTAATGCATCATGTTGTTTTATTTATTATGTTTACTTTAAAATCTAATATATTGAATCTTAAAAGTAACATAATAATAATTGGAGAAGTTAACCAATAAAATTGAAAATGAGTGATAGCACAATTTCAGAAACTTCCATAAAAGTCAAACTCATTCTAAAGTTAATATCTACATCAAGTCACCAACATATACACGAACAAATTCTGAATTTAAATTTTATAAATTCAATTATTATGATTTGTAGAGTTGAATTCTTTATATTCTTAAATTTATGTCTTCAATACTTGAGATTCTACGTTAAAAATACTATGTTCAGATGAACCAATTATACACGCAGAGTGGATCCAACTTCATGGGATTCACTCAAACTCAATATTTTCAATGCAAAACATAAATTTGTTAGTAAGAATTTATTAAAGTTACAACAAATAATAAAAATGAACAATAATATAATAAATTTAATCCTTCGAAACTTTAAGAATTAAACACATAAAATTTTAATTTTAAAATCTGACTCTGCATATACAAATCATCTTATACAACGTTGAGATATTTATATTGATATTTATTTATTCCTTTTATTCCATGTTTTTTCTAAATTATAAATTTATGGCTCTAATTAAAGACACCTATACAAAGACATATCTATTTCTCATTTCTCAATACTGACATTTATCGTCAATATTTGAAGAAGATATCAACTTAAAATTGACATGTAGAAATATCATACGTAGAATATCAAGAAAAGAGTGATATAAACAATTTTTTAAATATAAAATCTCGAGTTAAATGTTTCAATTCGAGCCCAGAAAATAAAATTATCTTTGATAAAAAACATTGTATCAAAGTACGTCTCAAAAATGAACTTATCTTTTTATAACCATAGTAACTTCGCAATACACTGTTGAATTAATCATTAATGTATAGTAAGATATTTCCTTATCATGATTTATTTTTGTTATGATAAAGATGTATTGCGTTACTATTTGATTTTTTTTTTCATTTCCATAAACTCGATTTTGAGGTCTTTTATTGAAGGTGAAGGATTCCGACTCCCAAACTATCCCATTATAATTTACTAAACACAAGTGGCCGTGCTAGTACGGGCCCAATATCTGTTATTTTTTTTTATCTCACTTTATGTGATAAGATAAAATTTAGAGAGTCAATTAAATTTTAAATATGATTTTAAAATACTTCAAGTTGTTAATTATTGTAATTTATAGTACTTTTTACATTATTTTTAAACAATATATGTTACTTCCCTTGTCTCAATATATGTAGCACAAATAGAATTTCAAGAGTCAATATGTTGTTAATAATTGAGATTTACAATACTTTTTATGTAATTTCTAAATTAAATAATACATGTTACCTCTTTTGTCCCATTTGTGACATAGAAAGATTAATTTTATGAATCAATCGAATTTTTTTTAAAGCAATCGATTTTTTATATGTTTTTTTAAAAAAAAATATTTTAAGTTGTCAATTATCATGATTTATAGTATTTTTTACGCAATTTTTAAATATAAAAAAAAATTAAAAATAAGACAAACAAATTAAAACGAAAGAATTTTTTTTTAGAAAATTGTATATGTAAGTGTGGAACCATATAGGTGAAGCAGAAATGTTAGACTGTCACATTCAGGCCTATATATAAGTAGTGGATATTGGTGGTAATCAAATACTACACTACTAATACCTTTACCTACCCTAAAAGATGTGCTTGAAATTATCAAGAGGAGCAATAACAAAGGTCAAAGAACCACCACAACCAATTCTTACATGTGGGGTATAGATAAGGTAGAATATGCATCGATTTTCCTTTTAAATTTTGTGAGGTAAAGACATTGTTTTCGCTAAACCTTGATTTAAAAGAAAAGTTTTTAAGCAGATTTGCAAAAGAAAAAAGAAAGACGGTAGAAGAGCAAGAGACAAAGCAATGAAGCAACATATAGTAATATGCATTTTGAAAAATAAGAGAATGTATTAATACTGAGAAGAGGAGAGGAGGAGGCTCCCTCTCCCACATAAAGTACAATACGACTCGGCTATCTATTACACTTTTATCCTTATTTTCGACTATTATATTTTTTTATCTAGAATTATGTTATCAATAAACTGAAGTTGATCAATAACCACTAACTTCAAATGTATTATAATTACAATGGTCTTCCTCTCTTTTTTTTTCCAATAAATTTCCTATAGTTGTGCAAACTTTTACTCCTATTAACTATAAGATAAATTATTAATTAACACCATTTTATCATCATCATTAGAAGAGAAAAGGAACAAAGACAACTCCAAGATTTAATCTTTTGATTAAATGCACCACTAAGCTAAGCTTAGATAATTAACTTTCACGCATACAATTTCTTTTGAAAAAAGTCACCGCATGTTGTAGTTTTACTTATTTTTTTCAAAATAAAACAATAGTCCTTTTTACATTTAAAACCATTCCTTGAGCAATTTCTTATATAAAAAAAAGTTCTTCGAAAATGAAACAAAATTCTATAAAAAATAACAATTACACTAAACACATTGAAAATTTAAAAGTATTCCAATAAACATTGAGAAAAATCATCCTATCGCAATATATGGAATCACTCGAACATTAGTTGTATCGAAGAAAACACTTTACATCACTTACCTTAAGTTTTGTCAAGATTGCTCGCTCGATGAAAGAGCCTTTTACAAGCGATATTTGCCTTCTTCAGTCATACGATATTGTTAAGAGCCTTTTATAAGCGGTATTTGCCTTCTTCAATCATGCGATATTATTGGACCATTTATACGTTCCAAGATTTTCCACTCCCAACCACACTTTCTTTTAGGTATTTTACTGCAAAAAGAAAATAGAAATAAGAAGTTATATTTTTATAGGTACCAAAGATCTAGTAAATAAATAAAAAAGTAAAAAAAATGTTAAGTAAACTTTATAACGCTATAATAAACTACCGGACATGATGGCTATTTTGAATTGGACGAATTATCAGAAGAGGATCATTTATTCATAGCAAGAGTATTTAGTTTTAAACATACTTTTATCTCTACAACTTCTGTCACATCTCATGAAATTCCGTCTACTAAGCAAGCGCCTTCAACCCTTTGCGTGAAATGTAGCAAAAGAAAAAAAATCCATAAACCAATCTAAGCATGTTCATCCCGTAGAAACTACGAAATCACCCAAAAATGCCTTCAGCATCCGGGGTTCACCATAACCTTGTAGAATTAATTCTTTCATAGAAATTGTTTGTATCTCATACCTATGAGCTATAGGAATTCCTTTCAACCAAGAGAGTTAATTTTGATATATTATTGAAATGGTTAGCTCTTCTATGATGTGTCGCGAAGATCTTTGATTCAAACCTTCACATAAAGAGGACGAACTACACTTTTACTATTCCCTCTGTCCATTTATATTTGTCATGTTGCGCTTTTCGAAATTCAAGTTGACTAATTTTCAAAGTTAAATTAGATTACATTCATTTAATATTTTAATTTTAAAAATTGGATACTAAAAACTATACCAAAAGTACTATATATTCCATTTTTTTGCATATCAATGTGATGAAAAAATACATTGTAAAATGTTAGTCAATGTTATTATCATTTTACTCTAAAAAAAGAAATTATGACAATTAAAAATGGACAGAGATAGTATCTCAAAATATAGTGATGTCTTTTGATCGGATAGGAATGAATAAAGAAATATTTAATCATCCCATATTAAATGTGAAATTTTGTTTCTTCCCAAACTTTGTACTATTTTATTTAAATTTTTTCTTAAATTTCTATTTCTCAATAATATTCTACGATCAAAATAATCGATAAAATCATGTGAAATAATTTCATAGAACTTCTTTAGTCTGAATATATAGTTAATCATCCGAAAAAAATATTTACTCAAGGGGGAATTCAATGGTTAAAATAAAACCAAAGCTAATTAGTACTTCCTTCGTCTCAATCTATTTGTCTCCTTTCGAATTTCAAAATTTAAACAAGTTTTTCGTAATCATATTTTTTCATATACTTTTTAAATATCATGAATTACCAGTTTATATCCAAATTCATGATCAAATTATATTATTTGATTCTCGAAATTTAAATAATGCTACATAAATTAAGTCAAAGAGGATAAAAAACAATGATATTTTTGGGAGTTTGATTTGAAAAATTTATTGGAGGTTGAATCTTCTTCAATTCAACTCCATGTTAATGTAACTATATAAGTTTGTTGTAGTACAATAGGTAAAGTTTACAAATAATTACTTTTAAAATTTACCGTCTTATAATTTTATAAATAAAGTAATATCATAAGACTTTACGTATTAAATTTAAAATTTAAAAACTGTAATTATTTTTGAAAGATATGACTGAAAAGTGGTTGGTGGGAATGACGCTATTTCTATGAAATTCTTTTATGCCCATGAATATCTACTATTAGAGCATAATAAATTTGAACCTCTTTTAATTATTATTTTTCCTTAGTTGGACTAAATCTTACAATTTTAATTTAATATATAATATAACATAAAAAGTAAAAAAAGGTGACAATAGTTGTCTACTTGTCTCTATCTTCCTTGAAAGTTGAAAGAAACCACACTACAAATTCACATGTATATATGTGGATGTCTAGATTGAAACGTGTGTGTATTTTTATGCATCATTTCAACAACTATGTATTATTATTAGACTTAATAAATGAGTAATATTATTCTTTGTTCAATTGGGTTATCATAACTTTTTAAAATTAGTTTTAAAACGAATATTGATTTTTTTTTATAATTTTAATTTTTCATATGATATATTTAACACCATATGATTAAAGAGATATTTTCTCTATTTCTAATATTTGTTCAATTTTTTTTTACTTGTTTATTTTGACAAATCAAGAAAAGACAAAAAAATTTACCTATTATACCCTCAATTAATTACTTTGAAAAAAGTAGAAATTCTTGAAAATCTTAAATTTTTAATTCATCTACTTCATAGTTAATACGAGTAAAATGATAAATTCATTATGTCAAACATTGTTTTTTTAATTGGTGTGTCATTTTCAAAAGTGGACAAGTAATTAGGGAAGAATACATGATATATTTGGCATATCTTTAATTAAGACCATAAAATTCGAAAGTCTTTTATTTTCTTAAATTTTATGTCAAGTCAAAAGAAGATAGACAAATTAAAACCGAACAAGTAAAATACCCATCATTTTAGAAACTTGAAAATAATCTTTTAAAAAAATTACTAGGATAAATAATTAGTGATGGAACAACCTTATACTAAGGGGTGTTAAATAGTCGGAAAAAATCCCCTTTATTTTTTTTGTGTCTATTTTGGTTTGTATTGCGACATTTCTTACTTTCTTAAACCCATATGTGTTTATCTTTTTTTTTTATAGTTCGTTTCAAAAAACCACTTTACTATAATTAGAAACAATTTAATTTTAATTTCCTCTTTTATTTACAGACAAATAAATATGTAAGAATTATTTTAGATTATAACGTTCAAAATTAATTCTTTTAAAATAACATATCAAGTTAAATAATGTCACATAAATGATACCGAGAAAGTAATATTTTTTTTTTATTCCAACATGAAATGTAATCTATTTAAGGTTTATGTAAAGGTAGGAAAAATATTTTCGATTGAACATGAAATTAATAATTAATAAGAGGAAAAAAGTGGTAGGTGTGAGATTGACCAAACCTCCTTCACCCACCCACTCCCCAATATAAATACCATGTTCATTTCTTTCATTTCTCAGCTTGGATGTTCCCTTAGAACTACAAGCTTCAAATAAATTTCTCTCTTTTTATATTTTCATTTTATTCTCAATTACACCCCTAATTTTATAGAGTAATTGCAATTTGCACCCTAGAAAAATGCAATCGCTTACTCCATCATCGTCGGGGATAAATCTCAAATCCTTAATCCGGACGAAGATACAGTCGAACCGGGTTAACCCGATTCGACCGGTTATCAGATGCGTTTACCGGTTTGACGCGGCCAACGCCGCCGTCAACACCGGTACCGCGAATACCAACTCTGCCGGACACGTCGGCGGTTCTAGAGCCGACTGGCAGAGTTCCTGTGCGATTTTAGCAAGTAAAGTTGTGTCGCAGCAGCAGAACGCTGAGAAGAGTGGCGGCGCTGGTAACATCACCGCCGTGAACGGCCATAAGGCGACGATGGATCTCGATCTAGTTCCAATCGATAACCAACCTAAGCCGCTCACCATCACTGACCTCTCCCCAGCGCCGATGCACGGTGCTCAGCTTCGCGTCGCTTACCAAGGTGTACCTGGAGCGTACAGCGAAGCTGCCGCCGGTAAAGCTTATCCGAAATGTGAAGCCATACCTTGTGATCAATTCGAAGTTGCATTCCAAGCCGTTGAGCTCTGGATCGCTGACCGTGCAGTTCTCCCCGTTGAAAACTCTCTCGGAGGATCCATTCACAGAAACTACGACCTCCTCCTCCGTCACCGTCTCCACATCGTCGGAGAAGTTCAACTCCCAGTTCATCACTGCCTCTTAGCACTTCCAGGCGTTCGAAAAGAGTATCTCAACAGAGTCATAAGCCATCCACAAGCCTTAGCACAATGCGAGCTTACACTAACAAAACTCGGTTTAAACGTAACTCGAGAAGCTGTTGACGATACCGCCGGCGCTGCCGAATACATAGCTTCCAACAACCTCCGTGACACAGCCGCAATCGCCTCCGCACGCGCCGCCGACCTATACGGTCTCCATATCTTAGCTGAAGGAATCCAGGACGATTCAAGCAACGTAACTCGTTTCGTTATGCTAGCGCGTGAACCAATAATTCCTCGAACCGATCGTCCATTCAAAACAAGCATCGTCTTCGCACATGATAAAGGAACAAGCGTTCTGTTCAAAGTGTTATCAGCTTTCGCATTCAGAAACATCAGTTTAACGAAGATCGAGTCACGGCCTCACCGGAATCGTCCGATCCGGCTAGTCGACGATGCGAACGTCGGAACGGCGAAGCATTTCGAGTACATGTTCTATGTAGATTTCGAAGCTTCCATGGCGGATGTTAGAGCTCAGAATGCGTTGGCTGAAGTTCAGGAGTTCACGTCGTTTTTGAGGGTTTTGGGAAGTTATCCAATGGATATGACTCCATGGTGTCCTTCTCCCCCCTTTTACCCCCTACCCCCACCTTAAGAAAAAAAAATTATATTATATTTAATATGTTTTATTTTAGGATTTATATCATAGTTTGAATTACATTTCATAATCTTTGGTGAATGTGTAATTGTTTATACTCATTTTTTTCCCCATATGTGATGAATTTATTTATTTTCTAATTTGATAGTTATTATACTCTTTCTTATGGCTCGTCAAAATAAAATTTTAATCTATAATCTTCACTCAAAATTGATATATCTAAATTCTGAACGTGTTATTTTAATTGTCGTACTTTATGATCTAGAAATTCGTTTGGAGTCAATCAGAATCTTCGATCTTAACCTTTGGTGATTGAATTTGTATGACTTAGTTCAATTGTCTCTTTTCTCTTCTTTCTTGTTTTGATTTAATCACCTAATATTTAGTTATTTAATTTGTGTCTTGTGAACCTAGTTTAAGAAAAAAACGCTTTCTATACAAAAAAAAATTTGATATTTTTTTAATTGATATTACTAGTGCTTTTCAAACAATTGTAGAAATAGGATCAAATAAAAAGAATATACTTTCTTTTTATTCTTTGAAGTTATAAGATCCAAGGGATTTGAGATTCAAAGAATTAAAAAATGTGAGAATTTTAGCCTTTAGGTGGCACAAGGGAATCTATTTTTTGGTTAATAATGGTGGTTTCACAATAAAGGGTTATGGAAGAGGTGAACTTACGAATTTTTATTTATGAATTCTGAATCATAATGTTTTTATTACTTCTAACACAATACAATATATGATTTTAGTCAATTTTTACTAGGTTTTGTCTTTCGTATTAATAATTATGATTTGGTCATGAATTATAGTGACATGGATATGACTCCTTCACTCATGATGAATTTCGAGTTTCAATTTGAGAAAAGTAATTGATAGAGAGCGTTTTTTTTATATGGATCTTACATCGTGGAAACTCAAATTAATCAAGATCTTAATTAATCTAACATTTTGTTATGAATGTCCAAATATTTTTAGAAAATCAGATTTGTGTCAAGTTTCAATCTGTGTTTGATCATAATTCTTGGAAACATATTTCTCTCTTTTTTATAAAAAAACAACCACTCACAAATTCTAAAAACTATCAAAATACCTATAAGTTTGACACAAAATTAACATTTTTATAGTGTAATAGATAATATATTATTTTAAAATCATAATATGATATTTTAATAAAAACTACAATAATCCAATTACAAACTACTACAATTCGTTAAATTACAAGAGTTACAAAGATTTACCAGGACAAAATAATAAATACTAATACTTGTACTAACTAATTATTCTATAATAATCTTCTCACATTTTACGAATAACTGATTAGATAATCAAAATAAATAAATAGAAATTAGTTAGAGTCATAAATAGATAAAAAAAAAAAATTATATATATATTTAAAATTTAAAATTGAAAAAAGTAATGGTTGCCCCCCTCCCCCTCCCCCTCCTTTTTTTTGGGGTGGGGTGGCGTGGGGATTATATTTCCCCAACTTGTGCTCTCAACTACTTTATCTTGACTTCTTACAAACTTCAACTTCATTGATGTTTCGCCACAAGGCATCTTAATTTCTTTTTCAATCTTTTTTGAGTCAATTCAAAAAAAGATTATTAACTTTATCTACTCAAATATTTTGAACTTCAAAAATCACTTGAAATCATTATAAAGTTATTGCCCATCACATTTATACCATCTAAAATAATTTTATCATGTGATGGAAATATTTATGATTTATTATTTCAATCTTTTTTTTTGTTACTATCAACACTAATATATAAACATATTACCAAACCATGAGTAGGTCATATAGAGTTTTCATGAAATTAAATTCCTAACTAAAATTTTGGCTTGGGAAAATAATATACATAAATTGAATGCCTAACATCTAACACTATTGATGCTTAAAGTTTTTTTTTTCATTCACAAAAATTTGGACTCGAAAACTTTAAATTATAAATGAAGGGATCTTAATTTTTCAATTACAATATTTATTGGTGTCAAAAATTCGTTAAACATACTCACTTCATTTCGTGATAATTAAAATTTTAAAAAGAAATATCATAGCACACTACTATAACTTTATAAAAGTTTATGATCTTACATGTTTCCATAACATTTGTTATGATTATAAAAGTTTTTCCTCAAGAGTAAACTAGAAACAAATATTAAATTTAATTATTGTTAAAGATAAAATGTGATATTATTTTCTAAATTGATTAAAAAAGAAAGTGACAAAAGAGCTACTCATAATTAAAATTATTGACATTGCTACTTTTGCTAGGGCCAAAAAAGAAAATTGTGGTATTGAGGACCATAGTCTATATAAGCCATTTGTAGACATCCCATTTGATGTAAGGATTTTTTTAAAAAATTTTGTGATGATAAAATTGTCCTTTTTGTTGTGGCATTATCTTTAAAAAGTTATGAACCACGTTGTCCTTTTTGGAGTAGTTTGGTTGGATGTATAATAATATTATTAAATATATAATACATATAGTAATAATATTAATGTTGTTATTAGTTATATTAAAATTATTTTTTATACATTGTTTGATTTTATGTATTAAAAATAATATATATTAAATAAATTTTTTAAATTATTCATTTACATAAATACTCTTCATAAATACAAGAAAAAAGATGCAAAAAGGTATGAAAAATAATTATATCTTTAATCATGATGTATGCATTAAAAAAATTTGCATTATTAATTAATGATTTGTCATGTATTAGTTATAACTTATATAACCATATAAAGTGTATAATTAAAGATAGGTTGAAAATATGTATCAGACATAATATTAATATAAATAATATTATACACAAAATCAATACATACATTATTATTTAAAATACATTCTATCAAATAGGGGTGTAGATTTGGACAATCTTTGTCGGAAAATAATACCGTATATATTAGTAAAATGATACACGATGTAATTAAATAACATATTCTGAACACTCTTGACAGAACAAGGTGTTGTAGCCTAGTGATTTTAGACGCATTGAAAGAACCCTAGAGTGCTCATGTGTTCGAATTTCATTTTTTTTGATCAATTTTTTTTATTTTGTGAAATTCCTGACTTCACTATTACTATCAAACAATCCCACCTTACAAGTCCCCAAACACTTTATTTTAGATTTTCTTTTCATTATTTGAATATAACTTATACACTATACAATATGTATAAACTGAAAACTTGATTCATTGTAAAAGTATATTTCATCTAAAAATTTGAAATTAGGAAGAGAATGGGTTGGTGAACAAAAGTAGTAAAATGTTGTTGAAATAGTAAAAAAAAATTTAAAAATTGACTGTAATTAGAGGTGGAGCTAAATGGGGGTTCGCGGGTTTGAACGAATCCAGTAGCTTTTTCGTAAACTCTATATTTGTATTAGAAAATTAGATAAATATATATATATGTTAACTTGTGAATTCCATAAGAAAACTGATATTAACGACTCAATAATAAGAAAGGAACCATAAAAATATTTCCCATACAAGAATTGTTGATTCAGACTATCAACAAAAGTTTCTCTTTTACCTAACATTTAGAACCCTCACTGTGTAATTAATTATTTAGGAATATTTAAACCTTAATTCTTGTTGTAGGTGGGAAATATAACTTTTCAATGGCTTATGTTATTATCTTTATTTTTTAAATATTAATATTATTATTTACGATGTCATTTATGCATCAACAGTAGGGGTGGGTGGAGTTAACTCATTCGTCGTGAGTTTGGCACAACCAGTAACTTTAAAAATATAGAATTTCCAACTAGTAATTTTAAAAATATAGAATTTCGAACTTATAAACTTTAAATTTTGGTTCGTCTCTGATTATTTTCAGTGGATGTTTCTCATTCTTATACATACGTCAGGCAATTGTAATTTCCTTTTTTAAATTCTGTTTGCACGTTGTTAATAATTTTAAGGGATAATAGTATTTTTAATCCTTCAATTATTGAATTTTTTAAATTTTAATCCTTGAAATAGTTAACAAAATATACTTAACCTCGAATTAACCAAAGTATGTAATTTTGGTCCCTTGATATAAGTAATATGTTATATTTAGAATATTTTTTGGATTATTTTACTGTTAAACATTGAACATTAATACATCTTTAACATAACACGTGATAATTAAATGGTAAAACAATTGATGCTCACGGTAAATTTGTATATATTCACAAGCCAATTGATCAAAAACATGTACGCGTTTCAATTAATTAAAGACTAAATATAATTAGTTAAGGGCTAAAATAAGAATTTATCGATAACCGAAGATCGAGAGTACTTTTAACCCTAATTTTAGAAGGAAAAAGTTATTTCAAATGAAGAACAGTTTACATATAATTATGTTATTAGACAAGGTTAGTTTCTTGTGAACACAACAAAGACTATATAGGAAGATTGGTCCACTTGCTAATTATTAGTATTATAAGTTGGTTTAGTTGCTAATCTCCCACTAAATATATTTCTCTATTGCTAATCAAAACATCAGAAAATGCTCAATATATTCTGAAATATCGCTGAAAAAATAGATATTTATGACAAGGAATCAACAACTGCTATTCTTTGGCTACGTTTAGGGTAAACTTTGTTTCAGTGTAATAGCCCGCAAATATCACACCAAAAAGGGAAATCGCGCTAGGTAAATTATGTGCCTTGAGTTCGACTAGGAAAATATGTCAGATGTTGCGACTGACACCCCTCATTGCTCTGCTCAATCAACTCAGTCAATCTTACGGATTATATTATATATTTGAATTTGCCTTGAGTTCGACTAGGAAAATATGTCAGATGTTGCGACTGACACCCCTCATTGCTCTGCTCAATCAACTCAGTCAATCTTACGGATTATATTATATATTTGAATTTAGGTCTAAATGATTATAAAGGTATTATTAATATTAGAAAAGAAAGTACATTATGGAGCTAAAACAATTTTTACCTAATTAATTTCCATGAAAATAATATTAGGTCTATTCAAATTGTTGATATGTCTAATCAAATAATATTAGGTCTAATTAATTTCCACTAGTTTTGCCTTTTATTAATTAAGATATTTCACAACTCACATGAAAGTGACTAGTAAAATACTATGTGACAGAATTATAAAGCATCTTTTTAAAACATTATTCTTAAGTTATTCATGTAGAAAAAGAAGAAGATATTAATGTACTATAAAGGCCTCAAGTTAAAATCGGGTTACGAAGCCGTCTTTATTATAAATATTTCATTTTTAATGTGAGACTGCTTAATGTGACTCTGAATTTAGTTGGACCACAATATGAGTAATAAATATCAACCTGGGACTTTTTTATAGGGTTGTAGAAAATCGATAACCCGAATCAATTTTTTTTTATTGGTTTAACGGTTTTGATTTTTTTATTATCGTGTTATCAATTCTTAACGGTTTGATGTTTTTTCTTAACAGATTAACCGATAACTCAATAGTAAATTAATAAATTATATTTATACAGTTCGGTATATAAAGTCCTTGACTTAAGATTTAGTTTCATATTTTTATTTCTGGCAAACTTTCAGTTATTCTACAATGTGTTAGCGTTGTTTTTGAGCAAGATACAATCTATCAACTCATGTGCATGGTTTATTTGGTTTGTCACCATGTTCAATCACTTATTTTTTGTGTCAAATCTTAACGGTTAAACCAATAACCAAACCGATAACGACCAATAACCGATAACCCACTATTTTAATGGTTCTTAACGGTTTAGCATGTCTACAAACTGATAACCGATAAGTCCAATCGATAAACTTCAAAACCAAACCGATACGCAACCCTACTTTATAATGTGACTCTAAATTTAGTTGGACTACAATGCGAGTAACAAATATCAAAAAACGGGTGGGAATCCAAAAAATATATCTAGAAGTAAAAAAAAAGAACATAAAATGTTGAGAGTGGGATTTGAACCCACGCCCTTTCGGACCAGAACCTTAATCTGGCGCCTTAGACCAACTCGGCCATCTCAACATTGGCACCTATTAAAGTTTTTCTATTATATTTGTAGTCGGAAAAAATATCATAAAAATATGTGTATTCAATTCTTAAATCAATGATAATTGATACTAAAACGAATAATATATAGTGTCTTGCGTAGAATTTGTGAGTCATGTCATACACGATCATTTACATAGTTCGGGAACACTCTAACATACAAATATAAATTTTAAATTTGATCTTAATTACTATGAAGTCATTTCGTTCATAACTAGGTTATTCTGGAATTACAATCAAAATTATTTAAATTTATAATCCAAAGATTATATACATGTTTTTATTATTATAAGAAGAAAACTTCAAATGACCATTGACAATTGTCAAGATGTGGTTTAAAGTTTAAACTATACAAGTGTCTTTTATTTAATTTTATTTTTTCATTTTTGGAAAAAAGACACTAATTCCACCATAGTCTGAAGACCATTTTGGCAGACATATATATACACTTATTATATTTGATGAAATATTGACAAATTGTTGGTGAATCTCTAAACAAGGACACCTTTGCTTCTTTTTTGACAAGTTCATGGAACTCACTAATTATATTATTTATCATAAGCTTTTTGGTGAAATAAATAGTATTTTCATTAAGAGGTTTTGGATTCGATTTTTGAATTAAAAAAAAAAAATTGTTAGAAAACGCTTTTTCCTTTAACAAGTCATACGTCAAACAAATCTAAATAAGTCACGATTTCAATATAAAAACTGACAGATTGAAAACCAAATAAAAATCAAATTTCTTCTTAAATTCAAAATTGCCCTTACCTACCACCACTCGTCTGATTAATTCAACTACCCTTTGTGTGCATGAAAAAGTATTCCTTTTTAAATTATTGTTTTTTAAAAAAAAAAAATCAAATCAAATACAAGATATATTGTTAACCAAATGAATATTTTACAAAAAAAAAACAATAGTTTTTTTACAAAATGAAATAAGAATTATAAAAGAAAAAGTCATTGTTTAACAATTCAAGAACTTTTTGAAAAAATATTAAGTACAATTTTTTTTGCAATAAAATTGGGAAAAAAATAAGAAATCTTGATTATATTAATAGGGACATTTATTTTATTTTATTGAATTTTTATTATTATAGAAGTTGATTATGTAACAAATAATAAATCTTGACTATATTTGATGCTTGGTTGTTGAAGAAAAAGTAGGTGGAAATTAAGTCCACATAGGGGGTGTTGGTTAGACTTTTTCTTATACAAGTTGTACAAGTAACAAGATAAAGAAAATAAATAAACAAAGTCAAATAAATACTTATTACTATACTATTATGATATACATGTCTTATATTTGTTTTAGTTTTGCAAACTCAAGAATTCTACATTTAAATGAGTGACCATTTCTTTCTTTTCTCGTTTTTTTTATTTTATAACCAAGTTGATTTTTCTTTTTATTTCATACTAGCTCTTATATAATATATTACTAGCTCTTATATAATATTATTATATACATAAACCATTTCCAAAAGGAAAGAAAAAAAAAAGAAATATAAAATTATTATTTTTTAAATAAAAAAGGAGAGGAAATAAGTGGTAATTTGCACTAGTAATCACTTTTAGGATTTTTATTTAAAATATGATCACTATTTGCAATATATCCTTCAAATTTGTGTATACATGTCTAAAGTTTAAACTTATCTCGTCCCAAAGCCCATCTTTCGACTCATTATCACAATGCACCCGAGCTAGGGGCACAATTAGGGCCGTACGAAATCGAACTGAAATCGATAATCTGAATCGAAAAAAAGTTATTGATTTATCAGTATTAGGTTATTAATTTAACTGTTTTGATTTTTTTTACTATCGAGTTATCGATTCTTAACGGTTTGAGGTTTTTCTTAACAGGTCAATCAATATTCCAATAGTAAATTAATAAATTATATTTATACCATTCAGTAAATAAAGTCCTTGACTTAGGATTTAGTTTTGTATTTTTATATCTAGCAGTCTCAAACTTTCGGTTATTCTACGATGTTTTAGTGTTATTTTTTAGCAAGATACAATTTATCAATTATCAACTCATGTGCATTGTTTATTTGACTTGTCACCGTGTTTTTAAGTGATTTTCAATAATTTATTTTTTGTGTCCAATCTTAACGGTTAAACCGATAACGATCGATAATCGATAAGTAAATATCTTAATGGTTCTTAACAAATTTAGCATGTCTACAAATCGATAACCGACAAGTCAAACCGATAAACTTCAAAACCGACCTGAAACCGACTGATACACAACCCTAGGCACAATCCAAATATCTTTTACTAGAAAATTATATTGTATATATAAGGTTCAAATTACTTTTTATGTATATATAATAGATATTTAATTTTCTTAATTTTTCCATATGTTCATTCCTTTATATTTCAAACCCCCTTAGTGAAATTTTGGACTCCGCCACTAATCACTAGCTCAGAGTCAATTTCAGCCCAAATCATAACCCAAAAAAGGATATGGGCTCATGAAGTCCAATCCAAACAAAATGGCACCATATGTCCTTTTTCAAGTCATTCTTTATATTTTGACCACATTTTGGAAATTTTTGCATATATAGACTTGACAGTAAATGACTAGTATCTAATTACATTTTTCTCCTCCCCCTCCTTTTTTTTTAATTGAAAATAATTATATAATATTGACCCACGGTGTAAATTTATCTTTGTTTAAATTTCTTTAGTATAAAGTACATAATATATTTGGGGCTAATTACATCCTATTTCAGAAGTTTCCCCAATAACGAATTTTAAATTTTTCATTGCTCTTGAATACATTTCTTGGTTGTTCGATACATTACAAATGATACATTACTTAATGGGAGGGATGTATCCGAGAGACGATAGGGATGTGTCCGAGAACGAAGAGATGGATGTATCCGAGAGAAATTTTTGTATTTTTTTTAATAGTAGAGAATTTTGGAGATTGTGATATCTTAAGTCATATATTTATGTAATTTTTCCATTTCTTTATTGAAATAACTTATCAAGGAGGGTTCGAACTCAGCCCATGGGGTCAGCTCAAATGGACTATTAGTAGAGCTCAATAATTTTGTAATATCTTTACTTATTCCTTTTGCTTCTATTGATGAGATTTTTAGTCCGTAATTCGCTCATCAAAATAATAATCGATAATATACATTACACACATAATATAGATATTTTACACATAACTAGTATACATTTTTTTGTATATATAGTTAGTGGTTGTAATTATTTTTTGTAAGCGGCTATTTATGTAAGTTTCCCTTTATTGATACCTTCATAAAATGGCAATCAAAGTCAAATTAACAAACAATTATACGATTTATAATCCATGTTATACATTAGTGTTAGGGAATTGGGCGTAGGTTCTTCGAAATTCAGTAATTTTTACATACATTATGTATTTAAATTGAGAAATTTATTAAATATTTGTTGAAAATTTAATAACAGAGTAAGCTTTTGGTCCAACGATAAAAATAAAACTTACTTAAGTTTTATTGTGTTTCTCAATAAGAGTTCAATTCCCCATGGACACTTATAATAAAATATTTTTAAACATTTAAAATTGCTAAAAAATCACACTTTAAATTCTGAATCCGTCCTTTTCCATAATCTTTGTACGTTTTTCATATTTCTTTTTCCTCTCAAAAATGTTGGAATTCAAAAATAGATAGGACCTTAATTACTTTTTGAAAAGTAATCATTGCATTTGATCAATTTTTAAAATTAAATTCTCATCATTATCATATATCATGGGGTATCTAAATCTTTCCATATATATGGAGTGAGATTATTTCTCCTAATAAAATACCCCATTCATTATTGCATATTCCATTATGTGTCAATCAAACATGAATTTTCATGTTAAAAAAATTGAACTTGAAAGTTGCTAGATAATTACATGTGGCATGCAAGAATAAAATTTGAATCAAGAGTATCCTATAAAGTATACACAACTTTGATTTTCTATTTTTACATATTGCCAACTTTGGACTATAAAATAAGTACAATTTTTTAGAATATGCAACTTTGATGCCAAAGATCTTAGCCTCCACAACCACCAACTAATATACTAAATAATGGCATAAAGTTTTAGTGCATTTTCTTTAAGGAACACAAACCGTTAGTGGCACTATGTTTGATAGTGTAATGAATTTATATTGTTATTATAATTTTATAGGTATAACATGTTAGTATTTGTTGCATATATAAATAATAATGTACTGTCTCTGATAATTTAAATTTTAGATGAGATATTTGTAATTTAACAAAATTCAGAATAGGTCTGGGTTCCAGTCTCATCGGTAATTATTATAGATTAAAATTGAACACGTACGATTATACTTAGGAAAACAAAGGAAATTTTATTTGTATATTTGGTATATATATATATATATATATATGTATATGTTCGCCCTGAAATAGATTTATT